GTGTTGAATCACAACTTCAAATATTTAGAAACTATATATCAGTTACTTAACAATAAAAAAGTAATATAATGAAAATTTGAAAATTAAGATAAATATGTTCGCATGGAGATTTATTTTTATTTAAACTGGAAGAATGACAATCAGTATAAATGGAAACTGATATCGATAGATAATGTGATATTACGATGACGTCATCTCTTATTTAAAACGAAAGAAACCGACTCCACTGAAACTGTAAGGATTTCCATTATCTTCTATAAGTCGTAAAAATCCTAATTAATTAAAATTTACGGGTAAGATAAATTTTTTTCAATGAAATCGTTAATCCATCCAAGTTAGTCAACCAATAAAAACTCACAAACATCGGATGGAGGTTTCATGACAGTATGGGACTCTCCAGCAGTGCATATTCACGATCCTGCATGCTGGAACCTAACCAGAAACCTTCTGCCTCACTCTCGAATACTTAACCACTAGACCACTAATCCGGTAGACAATGCTGTACAATTAAATTGATCAATTTCTGCCTACTGATATCAATAATTAACGGACACCAAACATCATCAATAGCATTCATAATTTGAAATAAAATTTCATCGTTCTTATACCATTTTGTATACAATTAGAATGAAACCTATTATAGTGAATTCCATGATTATTATAGAAGCTTGATTATTATTCAATATTCATGCTGTATGTGTATGAATATAATATCCTAAGTATTTACTCTGTACCAGCCAGTCAGTCAGTAACAACGCAGAACTTATGTACGTACATCAGTTCGAGTTGCCATACCACATTAGCACAGAGATGCAGTTGTCGATTCAAATCCCGTAGTGCTAGAGGTAGTAAGAGTATAAGCAGTAATCGGGAAGATTAGTGTTTGGAGATGTTATTTAAAGAGCATAATACAGTGAAATAAGTTTGGGAAAAAAAGAGACAAGGAAGAATAAGGAGATCAAAATTTGGGAGAACACAAAGAGTGGATGCACCTGCGCCATTGCAAACGATTCTGAGCCATGTCATTCAGGGTCTCTAACCATCGGTTGCTATCATCTCGCGGTCCACAACCAGGTAGTCTACACCTACCGACATGACTCAGTCCACTTGTCAGTGACTTCATGGACTTGTGCCATGTTTTGGTCTGGCCGCCCCTAGCTTTCTTCCAATCTACTTTTATACCACTGAACATAGCAGGTCGAGGCAGTCGGTCGTTGGGCATACGTAACACGTGTCCCAGCCATCTCAACTGATGAAGTTTCACTACGTCATCAATTGATTTGCTATCCTTACCTAATACCCGTTTCCTAACAACTGCATTACTTACTCGATGGTCCCATGATATACGAGCAATGTTTCGAAGACACCTATGATCGAATACTAGTAACCCACAAATATCCTCTACTCTTACCGGCCACGTTTCACTGCCATAAAGTAGGACGGAACGAACTGCTGCTCAGTAAACACGTTCTTTGGTTGATAGACGGTTATCTCGCCTACGCCATAAATGACGCAAGTTGGTAAAACCTAGTCGAGCCTTCTTTATCCGTGCTGAGGTTTCGTCACACACCAGACCACAAGGGCTGATGAGACTTCCAAGATAAATGAGGCGGTCGACACACTCAACTACTTCACTCCCTATCACTAGTTCGGGTGTCGATGTAACCCAATCCTGAAGCAACATTTTGCATTTCGAGGGAGAGAATCGCATACCGAACATACTTGCATCGTTGCTTAGAGTGGTCAGAAGACTCTGCATTTTGTCAGCGTCTTCACCAAATAGAACTATGTCATCGGCATATTCTAAGTCAACATGTGAATCTCCTGGTAAAAGTTCAACCCCCGGAAATTTAGATGAGGAAAATGTTATCTCTAAAAGCACTTCAACGACAAAGTTAAACATGAATGGAGAGAGTGGATAGCCCTGATGAACACCATTTGAAGTAATCAATTCTGATGACGGTTCGCCATAAGCTCTCACTCGACCAGTTGTGTTCTAGTAGAGAGCATTTACAAGATCAATGTATTTCTTTGGTACTCCTTTCAATGACAAACACTGCCATAGAATCTCACGATCAACAGAGTCGAAGGCTGCCTTAAGATTGAGAAATACTACGATTGTGGGGCGTCTAAACGTGTGTGTGTTCTAGAACCTGACGTAGTGTGAATATCTGGTCTATACAACCACGTCCAGGTCGAAAACCAGCCTGATTTTCTCCAGTCCGCTCTTCATGACCTTTAGCTAGGCGTCGAAGTATTATTGAATCTAATATTATAGTCACTATATTTGTCAAACTGATTCCTCTATGATTGTCACAAGAGGACGTTTGTCCTTTCTTATAGACTTGCACAATCAGTGATTTAGACCAGTCAGATGGGATTACATCCAGTTCCCGAATTCTACCTAAGACCTCAGTTAATCTCACTGCTAATACTGGACCACCATCCCTAAAAATCTCAGGAGTAAACCCGTCAGGGCCTGCTGCTCTCCCTCATTTCAGATTTCCTAAGGCTTTTTCAACTTCGTAAAGAGACGGAGGACCTACATTAACTTGCCATTCAGGTTGACTAGAGATCGTGGGAAACCGGAGTGTGGCTGAAGGCCAGTTGAACTGATCCCTGAAGTGTTCTGCCCATCGATACAATCTACTGGATTGAGAATGTATAATATGTCGATCTTTCTCTGAGTGTTTTGCTAACAGTCGGTCTCCTTAACAAGTCTGAACAATTGTATGCTATTACCTATTGCCGCTGCCTTTTCCATCTCTCTTGCTTTCGCTACCCACCACTGTTCACGATCGTTGCGTAGACTTCTTGTCAGCTTGCGCTTAACCTGACTCCGCTCTTCGTTATGTTCAGAGCCAGGTGGAATGAGTTTCCGAGCATCTATCAGTGCGATAGATGCTGCTGAGATCCAGTGTTTCTCCCTAACCTTGAGGTTTACCTTACTAACAGATATCACTGCTGTTTCCACAGCTTTTCGGATATCATTCCATGCTGCCTCGGGTTGGGCATCACATACATGGCTGCTTAACTGTTTTTCTAGTTGTTCCTGAAATATACTCTTAGCTTGACTATCATTAAGTAGGGCCCTAAGAGGTTTCCTTGCAGCGTCTTTCCTACGTCCAGTAAGACGCAGGCAAATAGGCGCACGTACTAGAGCATGATCTGAATCTAAGTATGTGCTCCATAATGAGCATCAAAGTCACCAGCCACTATTACTACATCCGAGCACTTAGCTTTTCGAAGGTCGGAAAGCTTTCTGTAAAACTCATCTTTTACATCATCTGCACTGCAGTCAGTGGGAGAATAGGCAGAGACGACGAAGAGGCAACGACGAGTGTCCCTATCTCTTCGGATCCTTACTGTTCCGTTCAGTTGGACAGCCCACAAACGACTGTCTACTGGGATCCAGTCTAAAAGAGCTAGTTCTGCCATAGGACTCAATGCTATACCTACGCCGGCGAGTCCACAAAAAGTAGCATCTAGACTTCCAGATACACGAAGTGTGAATCGAGTCGGTTCATTATTTTGGCATGGTGGGGTCAAGTGAATGACGCTACTCGGATCTTGTATGCGCGTTTCGGGGACGCAGCACACATCGATGGCGCGAGATTCTAAAATTCTAGCTAAGGAAGCCTGTTGTCCTATTTGGCAGTGTTCGGACGTTATAAGCTCCTACATGTAGTTTAGAGCATGGTTTCAGGAGACCAGGAATAACGTTCCGCGTACTCGAATCGTTTGCCCTAGCGGTGCGAGGTGATAAAAGGACGTGAGAAGGGTTAGTCGGGGAGATAAGAGTGGTATTAGGTGTAGAAAGGATTAGAATGTGACCAACTTGGTTTCGTGTGCTGTTACGGGTATGAGGGCTTGTGTCACTTCCCAGTTGCCCACACCGTGGAAGGTTATTTCTTGAGGAACCTGAAAAAGAATTCGGATTAATCTCGGCCTTAACGGCCTGGGAGCGTGACCACAGAGCCCAAGGGACAACTGTTTGAGGTCGGTTGCGCACGGCCTTTTGTGAGAGCTTATTGACGTGTTAGCTCCGTTCTTCAAACGGCCTTACCGCCGGAGACGGAAATCCGTGAGGCAAGGTGCGGTGTGACATTTTTAGGGTCGACCTTTTCTAACCCAACCTCTCCTTGTGAGAAGGCAGAATCGCTTCAGGTGCTGGTTGTCTGAGGGAAACACCTTACTGCTGTCACACCCCCCTAGAGTCAGCAGTACGACTTCGCCCTCGAACCTTGAGTTGCTGCTTTTAGTCTTACCGCTCTCCAGTCGACCTGCCTGACATGGTAGAACCTACAGGAACATATGTCCCAGCCAATATAGCTGGTTGAGTCATCACGATAGGCAAGCCCGATCACCGCGTCAAGGTAGCAGCTACGGTCAGGATTTACTGTGTATTGTATATTCTGGGTTTTTCATCAGAATTATCATGTCTTTTCATTAGCATTTCTGTAGAATGATCTACAGACCCTCATATAACTGGTCTTTATAACCTCTACCATCATCGGTAGTGGGTGTGTTGCACTGGATGACTGGTCTCCTGAAGTTGATATCCTTTGTACATTAGGTTGTTTCAAATGAGTTTCACTTATCCTAAGCAGAGCCAAAATGCATCTTCTTATTTCTGTGTATGTTTGAATGACTCTCCCGATAACACATAATTCGGATTTTCCATCTACTCATATTTGTTGTTACTCAGATTGTCAGATGTTGTGTTGGCTTCGTAGCTTCCATTAAATCTCGGGCTTCATCACATAGCCTAACAAGTCTTTTGAATGAAGACCCATCAACTCTCAGGGCGAAGTTTTATTGATTTTCACTGGTTATTACGTGGTGTTGCCAATCCCACTCCCAACACTCCAACGATACTCAGAGTTGGTACCAGTAGTGACCCCACAAACGATTGAGGAAGAATTTATGTATTTCATAAATGATTTATGTTAATGTGACTAAATTTCACGTATTCAATGGACTTTTCAACTATTTAACAGGACACTGTTTAATGATGGATTAAATATACCGCCATGTTGGCCAATGGTTTTAAAACAGTGTACATCCAATGAAAATCTCATTATATCAGAAAAGAATTATTACCTAAAAGCTTTTAATTCACACAAATTATCAAGAGTTTATGTTGAAGATAAAAATCATTCATATCATCTGTCAATACATGTACAACAGAAGTTCCCAATAAATAAAACAATTCAACTTAGTTGTGTAGAAATTGAAACATCGGATGGATCTGATTGTGCGCCACTTGTTTGCGAGCATATACGTAAGTAGAGCTAATTGCTCCACAAATATTAAAACAGTTTCCTTTCATTCTGTTTAGTATGGACGTTACCAACTCTTGTTTGAATTATTCACTGTTTGTAATTAATTTAATGCAGGCAGATGATTATAATTAGATAATATTGTGCTAGCCATAGACTGATTTGTTGAGATAGATAGACAGACACCATGAACACCGAGCATGTAAAGGATCAGCATTGATCTAGCTCGCCATACTATACTATCACAATTAGATAAAAAATAACAGGGTTAATGATAAAAGAGATCAAAAATGTAGTGGCAATTATGATTAGAAAGACTAAATATTGACAATATGATTCGAAAAGGCAAAATGATAAGGTATGTATGAAAGAGGGATTGAATTTAAGACCGAGAAAATTAAGATTAAATGCATTTTCATGCTTATAAAAATTCAGTCTCCAGTTACTGATAACGGTTTTGACAGCGACTCCAATTAAGTAGTCTGCACTTGTTAAGACAACTCATCTCGGTAGTCAGTAATTTCAAAGACTGATACCATATCTCGGTTTGGTTGCCTCTAGCCTTCTTTTAATCTACTTCTACACCAGAAAGCTTCACCCGTCGAAATAGATTATGGTTATGTATTTGTAACACTCGTTTCGATCAGTTCAATCGATAAAAACTTACAACCTTATCGGCTGGTATACCACCTTTCATTGAAATCAAGTCTTTCTTGACTTCATAATTTATTAGAAAGTAAGGGTAGAAACAAAATTCACAATTCAATCTCTGAAATCTGAAATGATTTAACTCATCATTTTAAAAAAGGTATTTCAATAAAGTTTTAGCAGTTTACTAAGTGATAAAATTGTTCATCAGAGTAGTTCTATCCGCTTGATCAATACACTATTTTTTTCGAAATGTTTGAGTTAACAGTTTCATAGCACATATTACTGATTGATTCTAGTTAGAAAACCTGAAAGCAATGGATGGTTGTTTCATCTCTTTAGGGGACTAATAACGAGTTCGGATTGATAACCTTTTTATGAATCGAACCCAGAACTTTCGATTTCTCCGAAAATGCTCGACCTCTAGATTACTCGGCCAGTGGCCAATAGTATGCATTTCTAACTCCAATCAGTTCACAACATTGCACAATCATCTCCGATTCTATCGGGTTGGTACCCAATTCACACTAGAGAGACTTACACTCCACTGGTCACAGGTTCTTACTAGGACCCCTAGAATTGCATCTAGAAGTTAGTCACTAGTGGGGTTGTTGATTAAAACCGCTGAGGTCCATACTAGGATGATAAACCTGTTCGCTGCTTCTTGGTTTACGGTGGAGCTTTAACTAAGATTAATCCGTGATGATAAAATAATCTCCTATTCTAACCGTTATTCTGTATGTACATTCTTCTTCTTTTCAAGTGAATTGCTGAACTTACCTTAATAATTAAGAATTTATTGTCTTTTTTTCATTTTTAATATCTGAATGAAAATTTTTAGAGCTTTTTTAATGGTATATTTATCGGCTGATCATATAGAGTATAAAACAATTGTGCATTAGCTTAAATTGTTACACTTCACATTAGTAGCTAGATAGAAATGAAATTTAGGACAAGGAATTAAAAAACAACACTATTAGCATTGGAACGTGGAACATACAAAAATTTAAAAACAAACAAATAAAATAGGAATATGAAGAGTATCCACTGGCATTGAGCTTAAGACTTAGTGTCAGATGAGAATTGATGCTGCGATTAATTCCAGTATATTTCATTTAACACCAGAATTATAATATATGTATATTTTATCCAACTCTACATAAAAACATAATGAGGATTTTGATGTTGTGTTCTTTAAGCTGGATGGCTTATTGAAGTCAGTGTCAACATGTGAAAGTAATAACCACCGTATAATGATAAATTTACATAACTTGTGGCGTGTGCTACTTATATTGACATAAGTAGTATATGATGTTAGTCGTAAACAGAAGGTCTGGAAGTAGAGACAAGAGGATCGAACAGTGAAGAATGGAAACAAAATGCAATTTGTATGAAAATGCAAGAACAAAGAAGTCTGAGTCGTTTTGAGACAATCGATGGACATTTTGCAAATTAAGCATTTACTTTATGATTGTTAGATTTTATTCACAAGTCCTGTTAAATACATTCGATTGTCCCCACTCGTGTTCTGTTCACCACAAACTGACTTCATATATAAACAATTAGTTTAAAATCCTTAATTAATATATCACCAGTCATTTTCACTTACATATATAGTACTTCACTAGAAATTTCAGGTTCTGTATTTCCATTATTTTTATTAGTTTGCAAAAACTAAACTTTTGTGATATTCCTGCAAACTAACATTTATATTTGGTCTGTACATAGAGCCTGAATTTATTGTGATGATTTAACTTACAAAATTCAGATATGATTTCGATAGGTGAAATAGTTGATCAGTGTGAGGATCATGTAGCTTTATCTAATTATTAACTGTTTCCAATCAATTCAATTAATCAGTCATCTATCCCAGTCGTAATAGTTGTCAATTTTTTAATACTTTAGCATAATCAACTCTTTTGAGAAATTATTTGTTCTATATATGAAGCTTGATGATAATCTATCCAAAAATAGATGATATCAATCATGTAAAGTGTCTAAGAGTTTCTTTGCTGATATTTTTTCATTAATAGATTATATCTGATAGGTATTTAATACTTTTTTTTAGATTTTACGTTTGTTTGTACGATAAATAAATAGATTTTTTAAATCGAATTTAGAATATTCAGAACACAGTAAATTTATATCTTACATTTGATTATTAACATTTATTAATTTATATTTTAAACATAATTAGTTTATTCTTTTTAATCTATTTAAATAAATACAAACCAGAGGATGCATCATGGTCAGTTGTGATATTCGTTTTAATTCTACGCTGTTTAGTTAGCTCAGCTCATGCACCAATTTCAAATCTACTAGATTCAGTAACATTTTCAATACTTGGATCAGGAAAGGCACATTTCTACGGTAGATCAAGAGCACTAGGATCATTTGGTTTTATGATTGGTTCTCTATTAACTGGTTTTGCAGTATATCAGTATACATCAATAAATTATCATCATACAATAAATGAAACAAACCTGAATCTTTTATACTATACTAATAATTCATTAAATATCAACTCAGTGAATCCGAATTATATACCAGCAATTATAATCGCTTCATTATCAGTTGGTATTGGTACAATTGCATCAATATTTTGTAACTATGATAATACAAAAACTGTAGAAACACATTTTACAAAAGCATTAACCACAGCAATACGTTCACCAACAATGATTCAATGTTTAGTGGTTGGATTTATGACTGGTTTGATTATATCATTTGTTGGTGAATATAATTATCTTATTCTCACCACAATCTATCATGTACCACATTATTTCCTAGGTTTATTAACAACTATAGCTATTATTGTAGAAATACCAACATTATTATTTATTTCAGGTATCACTGTAAAACGCCTTGGTGTGATTGCATGTCAAGTAATATCACAAATCATGTTAACTATACATTTCATATTTTATACTTATTCAACAAATTATTGGTATCTCTTAATTGGTGAAATTGCTTACGGTATATCTTATCCAATTTTAATGAATGCTTTATTATTACAAACGGAAAAAGTTAGTTTTGAAAATATAAATGAGAATTATCAAATTTTAGCTAGTTTACAAGCTATACTAACAAGTACTATGTATGGTTTAAGCAGTAGTTTAGGTGGATTAATATGGGGTTTACTATTACAATATTTTAAAGCACGTACATTATATTTTATAGCATTTATTTACACTTCAATTTGTGCATTATTTTTTCCATTTGTTGCATATTATTTAAACAAATTAAAATGTTAAATATTTTAAATGTACTTAAATTATCATCTAGTTCACACTAATTAAACCTATTGTGATTATTTATTTATTCATAATAAATAATATCAAATTAAATATAAAATAAACTGTTCTGTAGAGATCTATGATAAAACTATAAATTGGGGTGTTCAGAAAGTGAGGGGAAAATTTTTTTTCTTTCTAAACTACATATATTTGTCATCGGATGATTCTATGTAGAAGAAAAATTAATGAAATATTTCTTTTTGTCAATAATTCCTTTTAATGAACTTTTAATAAATAAATGCGTTTCATCTGATCTTTTCATACAATTTCCTAAAGAGAATTTTTACTTCATTAAAACATGTACAAATATTTATATTATGTAAAATAGACCAAGTATGATTGTTTTTTTTTTCCTTTGAATTAGGTGCATTGTTTCTTTAGTAATAAGAAAAATGCATGAACTGAGATGGTTAAGGTTTATTATTATTATTATTCAATATGCCTCATTATACTTCACCAGATAAACTTAAAAGTAAAACAAATTTCAAGCGTGTAAAATAGGGGATTCTATCAAATATAATAATAGCGAATGTAATATACACACTAGGAATTCTTAGATCTGTCTAAAATGTACATAAGTCACAAATGGATCAGCACTCAAATAAACCAGAACACGTACATATTTTAAGGTATCCCATTGGGATGAGAAAAATTCGAGGAATAATGTGTGAATCAATTATTGTTTTATACAAACAACATAGCTTCGCATTAAACTTTGAATAGAGAGAGCAACATGTTTACAAGTTTGTATTTGTGAAGATGAAGTAATAACTTGAACTGAGTAGCAGACGATACCTAATTAACACAAATTTAATACACTTAAAACAGAGGGAAACTGAAACATTTAATTTATCTTGATTGCCTGTAAAAGTTAGTTAATAATCAAGCTTCATGACGTTCAGTGAACTTTCATGGAAATTAATAAACGTAACAATAAGGTGGTTGGTATTTTTCCGTATCATCGAAAAGTTTTTGTATTGATCAAGCTCGAGTCATGGATGCTAGCCATCAGTTATATAGTTTCTACATTATGTCGTGATGAGACTAAAGTTGGAAAGTGATGACCATTCACCTCCAACTTGAGCTGAACGCTTTTGAATAGGACTGTAATTCAGGCTGGAGCTTCGAGTGGTAGATCTTTCAATAACACAATACCTACACCAATTATTTTAACTTCGGGAAAAATGAAAAAAGTATTTCTCATGAGAATTAGAACTCCTTTCAAACCTGTAGCTTGAAACTGAATATTTGGCTTATCAAACATTTCTCCTGTATGCGAAACATCATAAAAATTCAATTTATACATATTTACATATATGCAACTGAGAGTCAATCCCGATAACACAGTCTTGAAAGAGAGAAATATAAACAACTCGATAAATAAAATGTCTATACTAATACACGATTCAAAGGAATTTATCTGATGTACTAATGTAGAATCACTAGAAGATTTCGATTGCAAGAGGCATAAACACATCAGCAGAAAAAATACAACATAAAACACACAAGAAAAGAGAAATACAAATCAAAAACGCATAAACACCATCTCCTCACCAACTAACATCAGACAGTAATGATATCATTGTATCACAAGTAGCAAATAAACATCACTATCAAAAAGAAAAAGAAAAACAACAACAACACAACATACCTGTGTCATCGTGACGCATGATCGATAGGATCGCTTCACTAGACCACATCATATCTCCACATTGCCAATCGCTCATGACCCGCAAACTACTCTCTCTTCGTGATCCAATCCCATCAATCCACACACTATCACCTGTCAAATAAAAACAATCGTCAGAACTGTTCCTCAGAGATCTTGGTGAAAATCACTAATCAACACTGTTATCTAGCATCATTCAAACTAAACCAACACCATCAGAAAATTGACGGACTCACCTCACATTTCTCACAAGTAGAAAACTCAAGTCAACCACCTCGACTATCACGATACCTGGCACAATCAACACACAATCTCGATATGCCAATTCAAAATCAAGTTCACAATCTCACATCTACTCTATGTCACATTCCTTCGTATTCACACTGTTTCTCACTGCCTCTTTCCTGTACGTTTGAACAAATCACTCAGCCAACACCACACAACACACACCTGAAATCGGAAATACAAAACAAAAATGCATAAACACCATCTCCTCACCAACTAACATCAGACAGTAATGATATCATTGTATCACAAGTAGCAAATAAACATCACTATCAAAAAGAAAAAGAAAAACAACAACAACACAACATACCTGTGTCATCGTGACGCATGATCGATAGGATCGCTTCACTAGACCACATCATATCTCCACATTGCCAATCGCTCATGACCCGCAAACTACTCTCTCTTCGTGATCCAATCCCATCAATCCACACACTATCACCTGTCAAATAAAAACAATCGTCAGAACTGTTCCTCAGAGATCTTGGTGAAAATCACTAATCAACACTGTTATCTAGCATCATTCAAACTAAACCAACACCTTCAGAAAATTGACGGACTCACCTCACATTTCTCACAAGTAGAAAACTCAAGTCAACCACATCGACCATCACGATACCTGGCACAATCAACACACAATCTCGATATGCCAATCCAAAATCAAGTTCACAATCTCACATCTACTCTATGTCGCATTCCTTCGTATTCACACTGTTTCTCACTGCCTCTTTCCTGTACGTTTGAACAAATCACTCAGCCAACACCACACAACACACACCTGAAATCGGAAATACAAAACAAAAATGCATAAACACCATCTCCTCACCAACTAACATCAGACAGTAATGATATCATTGTATCACAAGTAGCAAATAAACATCACTATCAAAAAGAAAAAGAAAAACAACAACAACACAACATACCTGTGTCATCGTGACGCATGATCGATAGGATCGCTTCACTAGACCACATCATATCTCCACATTGCCAATCGCTCATGACCCGCAAACTACTCTCTCTTCGTGATCCAATCCCATCAATCCACACACTATCACCTGTCAAATAAAAACAATCGTCAGAACTGTTCCTCAGAGATCTTGGTGAAAATCACTAATCAACACTGTTATCTAGCATCATTCAAACTAAACCAACACCATCAGAAAATTGACGGACTCACCTCACATTTCTCACAAGTAGAAAACTCAAGTCAACCACATCGACCATCACGATACCTGGCACAATCAACACACAATCTCGATATGCCAATCCAAAATCAAGTTCACAATCTCACATCTACTCTATGTCGCATTCCTTCGTATTCACACTGTTTCTCACTGCCTCTTTCCTGTACGTTTGAACAAATCACTCAGCCAACACCACACAACACACACCTGAAATCGGAAATACAAAACAAAAATGCATAAACACCATCTCCTCACCAACTAACATCAGACAGTAATGATATCATTGTATCACAAGTAGCAAATAAACATCACTATCAAAAAGAAAAAGAAAAACAACAACAACACAACATACCTGTGTCATCGTGACGCATGATCGATAGGATCGCTTCACTAGACCACATCATATCTCCACATTGCCAATCGCTCATGACCCGCAAACTACTCTCTCTTCGTGATCCAATCCCATCAATCCACACACTATCACCTGTCAAATAAAAACAATCGTCAGAACTGTTCCTCAGAGATCTTGGTGAAAATCACTAATCAACACTGTTATCTAGCATCATTCAAACTAAACCAACACCATCAGAAAATTGACGGACTCACCTCACATTTCTCACAAGTAGAAAACTCAAGTCAACCACATCGACCATCACGATACCTGGCACAATCAACACACAATCTCGATATGCCAATCCAAAATCAAGTTCACAATCTCACATCTACTCTATGTCGCATTCCTTCGTATTCACACTGTTTCTCACTGCCTCTTTCCTGTACGTTTGAACAAATCACTCAGCCAACACCACACAACACACACCTGAAATCGGAAATACAAAACAAAAATGCATAAACACCATCTCCTCACCAACTAACATCAGACAGTAATGATATCATTGTATCACAAGTAGCAAATAAACATCACTATCAAAAAGAAAAAGAAAAACAACAACAACACAACATACCTGTGTCATCGTGACGCATGATCGATAGGATCGCTTCACTAGACCACATCATATCTCCACATTGCCAATCGCTCATGACCCGCAAACTACTCTCTCTTCGTGATCCAATCCCATCAATCCACACACTATCACCTGTCAAATAAAAACAATCGTCAGAACTGTTCCTCAGAGATCTTGGTGAAAATCACTAATCAACACTGTTATCTAGCATCATTCAAACTAAACCAACACCATCAGAAAATTGACGGACTCACCTCACATTTCTCACAAGTAGAAAACTCAAGTCAACCACATCGACCATCACGATACCTGGCACAATCAACACACAATCTCGATATGCCAATCCAAAATCAAGTTCACAATCTCACATCTACTCTATGTCGCATTCCTTCGTATTCACACTGTTTCTCACTGCCTCTTTCCTGTACGTTTGAACAAATCACTCAGCCAACACCACACAACACACACCTGAAATCGGAAATACAAAACAAAAATGCATAAACACCATCTCCTCACCAACTAACATCAGACAGTAATGATATCATTGTATCACAAGTAGCAAATAAACATCACTATCAAAAAGAAAAAGAAAAACAACAACAACACAACATACCTGTGTCATCGTGACGCATGATCGATAGGATCGCTTCACTAGACCACATCATATCTCCACATTGCCAATCGCTCATGACCCGCAAACTACTCTCTCTTCGTGATCCAATCCCATCAATCCACACACTATCACCTGTCAAATAAAAACAATCGTCAGAACTGTTCCTCAGAGATCTTGGTGAAAATCACTAATCAACACTGTTATCTAGCATCATTCAAACTAAACCAACACCATCAGAAAATTGACGGACTCACCTCACATTTCTCACAAGTAGAAAACTCAAGTCAACCACATCGACCATCACGATACCTGGCACAATCAACACACAATCTCGATATGCCAATCCAAAATCAAGTTCACAATCTCACATCTACTCTATGTCGCATTCCTTCGTATTCACACTGTTTCTCACTGCCTCTTTCCTGTACGTTTGAACAAATCACTCAGCCAACACCACACAACACACACCTGAAATCGGAAATACAAAACAAAAATGCATAAACACCATCTCCTCACCAACTAACATCAGACAGTAATGATATCATTGTATCACAAGTAGCAAATAAACATCACTATCAAAAAGAAAAAGAAAAACAACAACAACACAACATACCTGTGTCATCGTGACGC